TTACAAGAATATTAAGATGACTATATTTCCACCCCTGTGGGCAAAATTGTTCTTCACTGGACATTGTGGCGGACGTACACTGTGAATAGGATCCTTGTGTTTATGGTTGCTGATGAGTCTGTGTACTAAGGTCTCGTTCACAGAGCCAGTGGTGGGTTTCTCTGGCGGGACGGGGGAGATGGAAGCCTCCCGGGGGGCAGAAGAGGAATGGGTGGGACGGATCAGGCTGTGACTGGACCTGCGCAGTGGGGGGGCAGAGCAGGGCGTGGGCAAAGCTTCCTCTAGCTTGTACTGGGTTGGTCTAAGGCTTGTACGTCCTGAGCTGAGGTCAAGCACACTGTTGGAGGTTGTAGGTCTCTCTGAGAGCTTTTTAAGGCACGGCTTGGTGTCTGATGCAGCCTTGAAGGTGGCGCTGTCCAGGCCGGACTCCTCCGCCGCGCCGCTAGCGCCTTTACCACTGACCCGGTCGCCGTGCCCCGGAAGCGAGTCCCTGCAGCTGGTCGAGGGGGAGCCCGAGGAACCGGAGCGGCTGTGGTGCAAGCCCTTGGGTCTTCGGTCTGCTTTTTCCTGTGAGGCGGCGCGAGTCAGAAGAGCGAGAGAGAAGGCCATTAGTTTAGTAAGGAAGGGGGTCGTAACGCAGTGGCTATGTAAAGCAAAAAGTAAAACTAGAGATCTGAATCCAAATCAAATACTATATATCATGAAAGACTATATGGCAGTTCACACCAAACAAAATCCTCCATGAACCGCGAGTGTACTCTACCATTCTCATCTGAGATGTAACTTTATCAACAACCTGAGCGACGCTTTGCCTCCCAGCCCCCTTTCGCCTGGGATGTCTCTGCACTTTCTTCTTCCTCATTCTCACGGGGGTTGTCTGCCTGTCCGATTCCCCGCTGCTGGAGTTCGTTTCGCTGGGACAGCAGATGGAAAAAAAAGTTACTTGTGGACAACTTAATATTTGATGTAAATATTCAATATGATGTATGATGCATGGTTTCGATGTCTACATACTGAATTCTTTAGCTTTAGACTTATGATTACTTCTTATTTGATCAGTGTTATATATGCAGTTACTGCCTTTGATTCAGTATTTAATATATTTTAATCACAAAATCTTCCATTATATATTATGCTTTTGCACATCAACTGGAACTTCCAATTCCTCCTTAATTGGTTAAACAATCTCACACTTCAAATCTGTCTTTCCTTAACTACAAATATACTCTCTTTCATTAATGGCCTACGTAACCGGGTGCAATGAAAGCCAAATAGACCCGGGCGGCCAGAAGATAAACCTCTTTACCTAAAGTCAATGGAGGCGGGTTCGTCAGCACTCGACCCCTTCTTGATCAGGCGAGACCACAGTTTATTCCTTAATTTCTCCTTTTCGTCTGGAATGGGAATCGTTAACTTTAGAGAATAATTGACTTGTTTTCTGTCTTTCCAGTGGATTAATTTTAATCAAAATGTTGACCGAACTATCACTTGTTTAAGATTTACTTACCCAAAATTCCCCATGTTTGCAAAAGAAAGGGATAAAAAAAAGTTTCAGTTACATGCTTCAACTCTGAAGTATATTTAAGATCACACACAAAGCTTTTCCCTCAAAGGATATAAATGTAGATATAGACCTACAATACACGTAATTACAGCATATTACCACATACTCTACTGCACAACGTACTACTTGCCTCACCAACAAGGACCCCCAGCAATAGCAAACAGCAATTACCTTAATAGGCTGAGGATCGAAATACTCAACAAGCGTTTCACAGAATTGCCTGCCCATTGAAATCAGGTCCTGTATGTTATAATGGGTTCCTGCTCGAGGTCCTTCGGAAGCCCCCCCGAAGGAAGCCTCCATGGTGTAAGAGTGGAGGACGCCCATCATCCAGACCACCACGCGGGCTGTCCCTTCTTTGCAACGTTGCACCTTGAATTTGCAACTGCGGAAGCTGAACTGTGGGAGATCGTTTGAGTGGTAAAGGAGGTTGAGTGTTTTGTCTCGGATGTGACTATTTCTGTATATATGCAAAAATACTGGGATAATTCCCGAGGTTTTCTTTAGAAATGAGTTACAGAAACTTTGAATACAGACCCAAGCTAATTCATATCAGGGAAAAATAAGTTTATGATAGCTTAACCAATCACAGACACACCCTTTACAAAGCTTACACGTATCGCAAACGAGTTCATTGTTGACCGAACCGACCGACCGACCGATTCCTCGTCTCCATTTCAATATTAAAAAAAAAAATATCTATAATATATTTTCATCAATTCATTACCATCATCATCATTTTTTATATAAAGAAATACCTTATCGCCTCCGTTATAATGAAGGAGCAAAGGGAAGATCTGTTCCCTCAGGTGGTTGTCCTGATTACGACGGTTTTCGCAGCCATACAGAAAGATGTTGTGTTTCCGGGAATGCGCGTGGAAGTCGCCGTACATGACGACGCCGTGTTCGTCCATTAGCCTGTGTTGCGGAAAATATGTGCGTTTGTAATGGTTGCTGCTTGGTATTGTGTTATATATTTTTATGTGTATATGATAAAAAGTATGCTGGATGCAGGAGAGGGAAAGGAGGTGACGTATATAGATAGATAGATAGATAGATAGATAGAGAGAGAGAGAGAGAGGAGAGGAGAGAGAGAGAGGAGAGAGAGAGAGGAGAGAGAGAGAGGAGAGAGAGAGAGGAGAGAGAGAGAGGAGAGAGAGAGAGAGAGAGAGAGAGAGAGAGAGAGAGAGAGAGAGAGAGAGAGAGAGAGAGAGAGAGAGAAAGTGAAAGAGAAAGAGAGAGAGAGGAAGAGAGAGAGAGAGAGAGAGAGGAGAGAGAGAGAGGAGAGAGAGAGAGAGGAGAGAGAGAGAGGAGAGAGAGAGAGAGAGAGAGAGAGAGAGAGAGAGAGAGAGAGAGAGAGAGAGAGAGAGAGAGAGAGAGAGGATATGACAGTACAAAAGAGAAATAGAGAAAATACATGAATGATGATGATGATGGTGATGGTGGTGATGGTGGTGGTGATAATGATGATGATAAAAAAATTAACAAATGATAATAATCATGATGATAATAATAATAATAATTATATAATAATAATAATAATAATAATATTAATAATAATAATTACATACTACTACTACTACTACTACTACTACTACTACTAATACTGATAATAATGATAATAATAATAATAAAATATCAATAACAGTAACAGTAATCATAATATTAACAAAAAATTTAACACAAGACAACTCAAACAGAAATACAGTAGCAGCAAAATAAAATAAATAAAGGAAGGAATGAAGGAAGAACGAAAAGGAAAAATAAGAAAAAAGTAAAAAAAAGGAAGAAAACACAAAAAGAAAGCAGCAAAAAGAACAAAAGAGAGAAAGAAAGAAAGAACGAAAAAAGTATAAAGAAAGGAAGAGAGAACGAAAGAAAAACAGAAGAAAACAAAAAGAAAGCAAAAAAACAAACAAACGAAAGAACAAAAAAAAAGCCTTCCACCTCCTTACCTTCCGAAGGAAAGAAAAGAAGAAAGAAAGAAAGAACGAAAGGAAAATAAAGACATAAATAAATAAAGAGAAGAGAAGACAACAACAACAAAGATAAAGCACACAAAAAAGAGCGAAAGAAAGGAAAGAGAAAGAAAAAGAAAACCCAAAAATAAAGCAACAAAACCAACAACAACAAGTACGAACAAAAACAACAACAACAAAAAAAAATAATAAAAAAAATAAAAAAAATAATAAAAATAAAAGATAAAAAAACCCAGCTGCCCACCTCCTGACCATGGCCTTCGTGTGCCAAATCGCAGGGAACATCTCCTTCACAACCATCTTGTACTGGCGGTTGAGATCTCGGCCCACCAAGGAGCACCTGTGGTTGCCTACGATCACTCCGTCAGGGTTCAGCATCGGGATCACTTTGAAGATGAATTGACTACGGAGGTCCTGGGAAGATATTAAAAAAAATGGTTGGTTTAATGTTTTTTTCGTTTGTGAAGGATTTTTTTTATGCAAGTATAAAAAGAAGGATTTTGGGAAGATATTAAAAAAATGGTTGGTTTAATGTTTTTTCGTTTGTGAAGGATTTTTTTATGCATGTATAAAAAGAAGGATTTTGGGTACTGGCTACGGAGGTTCTGGGGAGATATTTAAAAGAAAATGGGTAGTTTAATGTTTCTCCGTTTGTGAAGAAGTTGTTTTTGTGCATGTATAAAAAGAAGGATTTTGGGTACTGGCTACGGAGGTCCTGGGAAGATATTATAAATAACATGGGTGGTTTAATGTTTCTCCGTTTGTGAAGGATTTTTTTTGTGCATATATAAAAAGAAGGTAGTAGCTACTTGTAAAAGGATATTGGGTACTAACTACGGATGTCTTAGGAAGATATTCAAAAGAAATGGTTGGTTTAATGTTTCTCCGTTTGTAAAAAAAAAAAAAAATCATATAAAAAGGTTATAACTACTTATAGAAGGATATTGGTATCATTTTGAAGGTAAATTGGCTATGGAAGTCCTGGAAAGATCTTAAAAAAATGGTTGGTTTATCTCTCCTTTTGTGAAGCTTTTGGTGATGACTATTTAAATTGTATAAAATTTTGTATAAACATATTTCATCCATTCGCTAAGGATTTCTGTGCATTTTTTGTATCTTCTCCACATTTCTAAAAAAAATAATTATTCAGAAGCTTCAAAGGAAACGAACTTTTTTTTTATACAGAAGGATGAATGCTATCAACACATAAAATCAACTAACATGTGCTTTGGGGTGATCTGCCGTCAAGAAATCCAAAATTCCCTTCATGATCCACGAGGAGGGAGTTTCTCCGGGGTGGACGCGGGCGGTCAACACGACGGCGCGTTTTTTCTGTGGAATATACGCAGGGAATGAGTGAATGTTTTATATATGCATGGTTTATACATATGTCTATATACATAGTTTATTTGATAGTTTGGCTGATTGATTTAGATAGATAGATAGATACAAACAGATAGCTAGAGAGGTATAGATAGCAAGAGGAATAGATAAACAAACAAACATATAGAAATACATATAGATATAAACATCAATATAACTACAACTATACATATTCATTTTTCGTCCTATTCTATTTGTTTGCATTCGTAAATTATATGAAATTTAAATCCATAAATTACCTTTCCATCTTCTTCGGGTTCGGGACTTGTAATGGTTAATAGATAGACGGGATTCCCAGCGAGAGAACGACACAGAACTCGTTGACGACACACATTTGATTTGAACGGATCATTCTGTCGTTAGGCAATGAAAAAAAATAAGTGAATAAAGAAACCAAAATGACGATGAAATATAAAAAAAGGGAATCTACAACATTTTCAAACTCTATCTTATATTCTAAATTGTTTGCATATATATTACTCATGGTAGCGTTAAATTAGAATTATATGCTGTTGGCATGGATTTATATACACTACTATATAACATGGAACGATATTTGTATCAAAAAATTAAAACAAAAGAGAGGGAACTTTACCTGGATGGTTAGGAGGTGTTCTTGTAGATCAGAGTAACTATATGGATAACAGTGAGCA